AGATAATGTTATTATCTAAATATGTTATAATAGGTCAATTCACTCTAGTATCAAAACTAACTGCATACTATTGAAACTAGTGAACGACAATTTGCTATGTCGTGCGTGTGTAAGAAGGAGACAACAAATGTATGGGTAGCGTCTTCTTAAGAGGACGCTACCCATGTATTTGTTGTCTCCGTCTTACACACGTACGACATACCAAATTTCCATTCGCTAGTTTAAATAGTGTGTTGTTAGTTTTAATATTAGAGTGAATTGACCTATTATCATACTATTAGTTAAGAATATTATCTGTGCTTAAGCGTTGGCGATTTTTAAATATTTTCATTTTCAAGTAAGATATATGTACGCGAAATATCAAAAATTTAAAATGTTCATATCTCGCTTGAAAATTAAAATATCGAAAAAAAGCCAACGCTTAAGCACAGATAATGTTATTATCTAAATATGTTATAATAGGTCAATTCACTCTAGTATCAAAACTAACTGCATACTATTGAAACTAGTGAACGACAATTTGCTATGTCGTGCGTGTGTAAGACGGAGACAACAAATGTATGGGTAGCGTCCTCTTAATACGTAACGGCTCGCGTATATATTCAATTTTGTTCTTTCTTGCGTCGACCACCGTCCGTCTTGCACGTCCAGCGTCATAATATGTTCTATTGACATAATATGACATTTTAATATTTAATAACAATGATTACAACAACAACAATAATAATAATAATAATAACATAAAAAAAATTAGTGATATCCCAACAAATACTGAAGTACTAAGTATGACTTAGCTATGTACTAAGTAAAATTTGACCTATAATAAATTCCAAATTAATCATATCACAATATCCATTAGGTACTTATAACGCGTTATACATCCACAAAAACCGTGATACTATCATAGATATATAATAGTAAACTTAAGTTTCAAGTACCCATGAATAATATTATTCAATCACAACAAAATAACTAAAATAGTTGTTCTAGGTTTTTTAATATGTAATTTCGTCCAAATTTGAATTTAAAATGTCTGTAAAAATAACTGTGTTCATATATTTTTTAGATTTTTTAGTTACAGTATGAACTATTTATGAGAATCTTTTTTTAAATTTTCAATCCTTAGCTATAAAAACTGAATATTTTATAATTTATTAATTACGATGATTGATAATTTTCGAGATTTCGATAAATTTTGTCAAAATGCGATCTTTAAATGCTTATAAAAAAAAATTGTGCCTATGTATTTTTAATATTTTTCAATTGCTATTGTAAAAATATATCAGGAACCTTGTATTAATTTTTTACACTTTTTGGCCCAACAGATAAAACTTTATTGATATTTATGGAAAAAAAAACTAAAAAATTGAAAACTGAAAATGTCCGTAAACGGCTCAAAAAGAGTCAAATTATTTTCAAAATTGTATGGTGTATAGTAAATGCTAATATAAACGTTCAGTGAAATTTTCATGTATCTACAGTAATTCGTTTTTGAATTACAACCAAATAAGGAAATCAACACATGAGAAATCGAGTTAATTAATAATTAATAATGAGATTTTCCCGTTAAAAATAAAGAAACACGTCAACGAAATTCAATAGTTAAAAAAACCCCTCGTGCAATATAGATACACTCTGTATATAGCGCTGGGGCAACTACGGCCAAACGCGGCCGAGCAACGTCGCAACCGTGTACGGGTCCCGGCAGAACCACCGGTTAAGCTGCGTTTACACGGGGCGTGAATTTGAGAGTGAACCACGCCACGACACCTTCGTTCGTATCTCACGACTGAAAACCAAACATTGTTTGATTCCATCACGTTTGGGTCGTGAGATACGAACGAAGGTGTCGTGGCGTGGATCACTCCCTAAATTCACGCCTCGTGGGAACGCCGCATTACGGACGACGCGCCAATTATTGTAGTGCCGAGTCGTCGTTTCGTTCCGTGCAGTTCGCTCGCCGTCGTTTTGAGCGCCGTTGTGTTTGCGCGCCGTCGTTTTGCTCGAACTCTTGACGCGACGGGGCCGTGCTGGTCTGTACGTTCGGCAGCCGCCTTCTTAAACCTCGTGGTCGACCCGTTCATGCCTCGTCGTCGGTTTACCTACCCCGTTGTCGCCGCCGAATTGCGCGTTGGCGTCCGCAAGCACTGGTTAAAGTGCGATCGACCGTGTATCAACGCTTATCGCGGATCGCCGGTGTTGCGCGCCGCCGGACGACTAGGACAGACCGAGCACACCAATACCCAGTCAAGGTCTTCGTCACAGCCAGCGGTGAGTAGTAACGTAACGCAAACCACAAAACAATATTACTGTAACGAAATTACTTTTGCGACAATGCTGTACCGAGTAATTTCATTATATTTCGTTTAAATATATTGAAACAAAATTACTTTTTAAGAGTAATTTCCACGGAGTAACGTGTTATTTTTCAGGTTATTAAAATAAGTAGTGTTATGAATACACATAGGCGTGCGCAGACTTAAATTTCTGGTCGAGCATAGACAATTATAGTGCCCTTATATTACGCGCCCCTAATTTTTTTTTTAACACACCAACATACATGTTGATAATAATATATTAACCTATTAATGTCTATAGTACTATAGTTATTGTATTTGTACCTATAAAGGTATAATGTTTTTTTTTAGATTAATAAAATGTACCATGTAATTGTTAGGTTAGGTAGGTACACACCAATATTTTTGATTTTTTTATACTTTCACGACAAACAAAATTGTCATGATCTCCACGAACATATTATTATAATATAAGCATTATAATAAAATATTTAAATATATACGCACATTTTAGTATGCCCCTAAAAAGTTTCAGGTCGAGCCTGAGCTTGACCGGCTGGCCCCGTGCGCACGCCTATGTGAATACATAATGTAATATGATAAAAATTAGGGGTTAGAATATAATTGAGAAAACTTTAAAATCAATACAATTTATTTACGATTCCGAAAATTTTTATAGTAAATAATAATTAAAGTTCCCAGGAAATAATACTTTTTCTTCGTGTATGAAGTCATTGACAACATGTTGTACCTAGGTACTGCTTATTTAGTAGCTATTTTAGAACACTGCTAGTATTATTGTTTATACTCAATATTAATTCTAACCAGACATTTTTAGGTAGACATATATCTTAGTCACTGTGTTTTTGTATGCCTGTACGGTCTGACTGTGTCACAGTGTATTAAGTATTTCCTTATAGTTTACTAGTTTAGTTTTTAGTAATAGTTTTTTCTACGTTTTCCACGACCAACTTCACAATGAATATACCTATGTTTAGGTATTACAAATATAGACAATATAGTGGTACCTATATTACATCGCAATTTACAAACTTAGGATAGTTTAAATGAATTTTTTTATTTATTTAATATTATTTGTATGCATTTTGTATACTAAAAATGAGTTGTATAAATGAAAATAATATTTTATATATTTTTGTACGCTGTAATAGAGTGAAAAACCGGCTCACGTGACGTGTTCTGTATACCTACACAATTTAGTATTGTGCTACACTTACCTATCCAACAGAACTCAAATTGTTAAAACAAATAATTCAGTAAATACATAATTTAAAATGGCCCTCTTCTGTTTAGTAAATTTTGGTGTTCATGCAGAAATAATCCGTTATGCTGGCGATACTGCTATTTTAATTTATAGTGAATCAATAGAGACTTTATACATAAATACAAATAATATAATTAATGATATTAGAGATTTTTAATAATCAATGCTATTACCTATAAGTATACGATTAGCTGAAATAACGGGTCAGCTTCACACGACACTAGTCAGTTTTAATTTTGGCAGAGTGAGTTTTATAACAATATTGATCCTCCACAATGTATTTGATGAGCGAGTCTAGATGAAACATAATATTATGTTTGTATCAAACTTGGAAAATAATTCCCAATTTATTTTTTTTTAGGTTTTAACGTATGGAGTAGGGTAAAATGAATAACAAGACATTTAATTTGTACTTAACTAAAATTAATTATTTTACTCATATTTATAAATTACAGATAGGTAGGTACATTTAGTCATTCATATTACTTACACCTATTAAGCTAACTATAAAATAAAAGCCTACCCCGTGACAAGTATGATCACTTATGATTAATCGCGATTAATAAATTAAGGATAAATATTAAAAAAATTCACTTGATCAATTATAATAATTAATTACAACATAAAAAATACTTTAACTGTAGTATAAAAGTAAAGAAACAGTTTTACAAAAATAAATTGGAAAACAAACCCAATTTAGAATTATGAATAATAATGAATAATTTAGAATACTACCTATAAACAAATAAATACATATAAAAAAGTATGATGTATCAAGATATTTATGAAGTCACCGTGTTATGAATATAAAAATTAAAATTTTTTTTTAATCTGTAGAATGCTAGTGGTAATGTATTTGCATTCAACAGTTTATAAGATAATAACTGATTTTATTCAATACAATTTTTATTTTTAGTTTAGTTAGGTACCTATATAATTATCGTTAGTTAGAAATACTTAAATTTAGTAGAACAAGCATATACAATTAATTGCTTGTGTACAAAGAAAAAATAGTAATACAAATAATACAAAATAAATATATAAATAAGACGTACAAATATACCTTACATTGTTTTAATATAATAAAAAACATGAAAAATCATTAAATATAACTAAGGATTCTAAGCACGGAAACATAATTATATTAAATTAAAGCATAAATCAATATAAAATAATGCATATGTTTATCTTTTAGTGAAATTAAAATTTAAAATTAAAATTTCAAACAAATTACATTTACACAACATAATAATATTAACAATAGCTTAAGAAATATTTATAACATCTAATAGGTTAACAATATAAGTTGTAAAAACAATAAAAATTAAAAAGTCTATATAAATGTCAGTTATAAAATACAATTTATGTAAATTATAAACTAGATTATGTAAGTAATATGAATGTATATAACCCTACTGTTACTTTTTTGCATGTCCCCATATATGTTTTTCAAATTCTGTCAATGAATCAAAACTTTCATCGCAAAACATACACTTATGACATTGTTTAGGTGGAGGATTATTGATAATTGGTAGTTTGCTGTGCTTATCTATACAGGCGTCTAAATGTCTGAGCACTTGTATACGTCTATTTAATGTGCGCTTGCACAAAAAGCAATATGAAAATGGCTTCTTTTCAGACTCATATTTTAGATGTAGATGGTTGGAGTACTGGTGAGTCCATATAGCAAATATAAGATTAGTTTCATATCTAAAAAATACAAAAAATATTTACTGTTAATAAGAATTAGTTGAAATTTATTAATGTTTTATACTTACGGGCAATAATTACACTTAAAGGAGCCAATAATCGTAGGTCCTCGAATCTCGTCTCCCATATTCTGAAATCCTTTAGAATTCACTGCTTTCAAAAAATTTGTTCTTTTGGCCAATTCATGGACTGCTGTTGTTTTATACTTTGATGTTTCGCAAAGTTGCAAATAATTAAATAGTGTCAACTGTTCTTCAGTACAAGCCTCATTTTTGGGGGTAGAATCAACATCCACAGGTTTATTATTTAACCACTCAAGCAGCTTGGAATGCTCTCTAACTTCATGTGTTTTGCGTGACTCTGGACTTACCAAATACTCATTACAAATTGGACATTGAAACATTGGTAATGAAATACTTTTAATTGGTAATTTCCAACTGCCATCTTTTTGTTTTCCTAGTTTACATACACCAGTTCTGAAAAAATATATTTTTATAAATTACAATATGCTCAATTGAATCCTTTAAATCAAAATATACTTTTTGTCCTCAGTAGTTCTGTCAATAGCACATGCTCTCTTGGGCCTGGACTTTGTAAATGACGTGTCCGACCTTTAAAATAAAATGTTCTCATTACTAGGGCTCGGAAGTTGTAGGAACTGCATATTAATCTATATAATGTTCTCGATTTATAACAAACCAAACTAGAAACCTGAGCTATACAATGGCGAGTTAAAAATTTTGAAATGTATATTTCGCATACTTGACATTTTTTCATGTAAATTTAAAAATTTATCTGTGCATTTTTTCTTTTTTTTTAGCTCCTATAACTTCCAAACCCTACTCAGTAGTCATTATTATACATTATTCCATTCTACATTATATTTAAGGTCCCTACGCACTGCAGCAATATCATTACGGCAAAATGAAGCACCATACTTTTTTAACGCCAAGACAAAAGAATTTTACCGCCACTGCTACAAGTATGTGGCGACCTTAATATAAAAATAAAATATATTTTTTGTCTATATCCACTATACACAATATATAGTAGAAAAAAATGTTTTGATTTTTAACTTCGTGATTTCAAATCACAATTTAGATCTAGATCGTATTTTTGAAGTGTCAAAATTGAAATCTCCCAGTATTTAAAAAAAAAAAGTGGGTAGTGTACACTCTGCTGTAAGTTAGGTGTCTAAGGTGAATGTTTTATATTTTCAATTCTTAGCTATGAAAATTATAAATTTTATAAATTTTTAATTACAAAATAACTTGCAAATTTTAGACATTTTGATGAATTTGGTCAAATTTTAAACATTAGATACTATAAAAAAATTGTGCCTTTGTATCTTAAGTATATCTCAACTGCTAATATAAAAACTTATGAGGAACCTCGTGTTAAATTTTCAAGCGTTTTAGCCTTATAAAAACATTTTATATAAATGTATAGAAATTTGGCAAAGATATCAAGTATCTATGGAAATTCATTTTTTAATGAATAAAAATATAAATAATGTTCACCAAAATGTTTATATTAGCATTTTGAATACATTATAATTTACATTTTTGAGCTTTAATATATAAAATTTAGACGTTTTCAATATTTTTTTTTTTCAAAAAATGTTGAATAAAATTATTTTTGCCTGGTGAAAAAATTTGAAATGTAATATCAGGTTACACATGATATACTAATTAATAAATATAAAAAATAAATTAAGGACAAGTGTTTTATAAGCAATTAAAATTTAAATTCTTCAAAATCAAGAAATATTGAACATGTAATCTTTTTTTTTTTTAATTAAATGTATCTCTAGGTACTAGTCAAGAGCTTAGCTAGAATTACACAATTAGAGTGGCCTAATTATCGCCTACGTTTTCTAAATACCAAATAAAGGATATTTATAAATACATATACATAATATTTACAATATACACAGTACTATATTAAATCAAATAACTATGCATTACCTAGAAGCCACAGCCTTTTTGGGCTTGGAAGTTTTCTTTTGTCTTATGATTGGTTTTCTGTAACAAATATTATATTTTAATATTTAAGTTTGACTATAAACTCTAATCTATAAAAACAAACGTTTTTTGTGTATTGTCTTCTTTAGTGGTAATGTCAACTGTTTCATTAGTTGAGAATAAAATATGGAATCCAGTATCTGGTAAAACACTTGATGGTTCAGTTTTCGGTTCAACTAGTAATGATTCAGATGGTTCAGTTTTTGGTTCAACTAGTAATGATTCAGATGGTTCAGTTCTTTGTTTAACTAGTACGAAATTCCATGGGTCATTTCTTTGTTCAACTAGTACGAAATCACCTTTTCCACTTCTTGATTCAACTAGTACATATGGTTCATTGTTTTTTCCTTGATGTGATAAAGAACCCTCATCAGAAGTTAAAAGTTGCATATCTGTAGTACCTTCAATTTCTTCAGTTGATATATTTGAGGATGATTCATTTTCGTTCAAAAAAATTAATTTTCTGAAGTTTAACAAAAATATTCTGTTTAATTCTTATTAATTTTAATAATATAATATGTTTATGTATACAGTCATTACATACCTGTGAAGTTCAATGATTTTTTCTGCATAATTTTTGTTTTTACATTGATTTGATTTAGGGATGTTGGTTTTAGCAATATTATTGGTACTAGTATTTCTGATATGTAGTGGTGGTGGTGGTAGTATCCACTGGTTTAAAGAATGTATGGAGTTTTCAAGACCTTGTAAATTATTGCCATTGTCATTACTATTATTTTCATTATGATTATGATAATTTCCATCATCACTAGTTTCACTGCACAAAGTTTAAAATTAATTACTTTTAATAAAATATTTTTATACTTTAGTTTTAAAATAATGATCTTGAATTTTTTTACAAATCAATTAAAATAATATACTTACATTATTTTGTCCATTTCTATTTGATTGAACACTACCACTATGATTATTTACTGTGCTTTGGACTCTGAAAAACAAATATATAATATTATATTAATACAATAGAATCTGTTAAAAACATGAACCATTTCCAAACTCATATGTACCATATTATGTAAGTGTACCTATATCTAATTTCATTTATATATTAATAATTAACGGGCGATGCCCTTTGAATACAATAGATAATACATCTGAATTCTAAGTAATAGTAGGAAATATACGTTAATACGAATAATAATAACAATAATAATGCTTGAAAATAGAAAAAAAAATAGATTTGAAGGTAGTTAGATTAGAAAGGATGGAACCTCATTAAATGCCCCATAATGGACATTATGCGTCTTAATGGTCCATTTTTCATATAGTTACTTTGGAATTGAGGAATATAGAAGGACCACAATGTAAAATAGATACCACTTCCTTATCTCACAATGTAAAAAAACGGATTCCAAAATGAACGGCAATCCATGAGTTCAGAAATCTCTTAACAGAGTACGCCATTATTGGTCAGGGGCCTATTTTATTTAAAGTTGTGATGCGCAAATGCATTGTTAAATATTTAAAAATGTATTTAAAATGTAAATATAATGTTCATAATATGAATATAAAATAGGTGGAATATATTATTATTTTATAGATATAAACCAAGCTAATATTATTGTATTAATCATATTATATTATACTACGTTATTATGTTAAATGTATATTATATATGCAGTTATTAAACATTAATTTGAATAATTGGATAATCAATTTGAATTTTCAACTATTAGTTTATATATATGTTAATAAGTTATTAATATATTTTAATATAATTATAACTAACTGTGTGGATTCCTAACTAATTTGCAAATTTCCATGATTTTTTGAAAATTCTTACTTCAGGCGTTCATAAAAAAATATTGTAGATTTACGCTCAACTCTTTTTTTAATTTTCACTGACAACTTATAAGGAGCCAACCTTGCATTTAATTTTCAAGTTTTTTGTCAGAGCGAAAAAATTTAAAAAAAAAAACTAATAAAAATCAAAATTTTCTGATGTCCATAAATAGTTTAAAAAGAGTCAAATATTTATGAAAATTGTATGGTGTATAGAAAATGATAATAAGAACATTCAGAGAAAACGTCATATTGTGTCAATGATTATATACAGGATACACAACAAACACTTATCAGTTGTTATAAGAACCTTCTTCATTCTTGAATTGACATTTAGTGCTAGAAGGTGGCAGTGGCGAGTTTTGTACTAATAACGTGATAATATCCATTATCCACTTCCATTAGTAGTTGCGTTATTCAAATCCTATTAATCTTAAATCTATTCTGTCACAAACTCATAACTTACTAAATTTCTGTGACACTTATCTTAAATATTTTAATTTTTGTTACTACTTACGTCTTACTCCATAATATTAATTTTATGAAAGCGAATATTTTGTGATAAACCTACTGATATATCATATATGATTAAATGTATTATAATTTACATGACCAATTCCACAATTTCGCTTGCCAGCATTACATACTTTTACCGTTTATGTTCGCTTTTGTAAATATGTTTATACATCAAAATTAATATAAGACCAAGAGTCCTGCATATCTAAACATTCTGTATTATTCTTATATTTCTTGTACATTTTTACAAGAACCAAAAGGTTTAAAAATTAATAAACTGAAAAATGTTTGTTAAAATAATAAATTCATTAAGTATAAGTATTCTTTATTTAATTACATTTTTTTTTTTTTATGCAGCCAACATTTATTAATCATTAATTTATAATAATTTGAATTAAATATGTTTATTTCTACTAAGATCAATAAAATTGTAAAATGGAATTTGAGATGTATAAAATTGGATATAATACTTATATTAGGTATTTATTTTCCAACACAATAGATATTAAGGCATAAATGCAGTTATCCAAGCGGTTTTTTGGAATTTTTTTTTTTCATAATGTGTGTTTTTGCATGCCGAATTTGATGGTACTTTCAAAAAAAACCGGTCGAACTTATTTTGGAAGTTATGGTAAAAAAACTTCAAAATGCTCAATTTTTTCAAAAATCGTGTTTTTGAATTTAAAATACCAAAAATTTAAGTTTTTAGAATTTTTTTTTTTTAGAAATGTTTGTATTTATATGCTCAACATTTTGGTGGAATCAGAATTTGTCTATCGTACTTACTTTTTATGTTATTGTTAATAAAACTAAATAATGGAGATGTCGAGAATATTCCACAAATTCAAGTCGAAAAAAAGTAAATTCTTATACTTTATTATTTGAAAATGTAGTTTTTCAGTTCCCAATAGTTTGACATTGTAATCGTTCTATTAATTTAGTATTATTTTCGTCATGAATTATTTTGTACCAATCTACCTATAACTTACATTATCTGTTTTTGTTTTTGTTTTTACCTTTATTGTATAATTAGGATATTAATTTCAAACACAAATATTGAAGATGTCTGTCAATTATAATTTTTATGTAAATGTGTAATGTATAGTAGATAACCCTGGGCCTCCACACGAGTATGTCTCAGTGAGGCCCAGTAATCTCATAGATTTAAATTTAAATAAAAAAATAAAAAATAGATCACTAAAAATTCTATGGACCAATCGTGGGCCACTAAATGTTGTTTAAGGGACCATTAACGAACACTATCGATTCATTAAATTATCTGTGCAACCCGGCATTAAACGATTAAAATAGAACAATGAAAAAAACCAATAGGTACCTATTATTCAGTTCACCAAAGGTATTTCAATTTTATTTATTTTTCAAGTACTTAATTTATTGGTCCTCCTAATCATGTTTATGTTGCTATTTTATTTATTATTAATTACATCAATTTTTATAAATTAATTAGTATTTTTAAAAATTTGATACATAGATATTTCCATTTATATTGTATAATAATATTAATAAACTATGTACGAATATATTACACATATTATTGTACTCAAGGTCGTATTTGGGGGGAGGGGGAGGGTCGATGGTTCAAAAATGTATAACGTTGAGAAAATTATATTAAATTATTTTACGTGGAAAATCACGGTGAACTAATATGATTTACAGAAATTTATAAGGCAATTGTAAATACACTAGAAGAATTGCAGTCAACTCGTGATATTGAAACGTCATCAAAATCATTACAATTAGGAAAAACTATTATAACATCATACATCAGACATCATAACTCAGCATAATTCTTAGCGACTCACTAAGCAATCTAATAGCAATCACAAATACAAGTAACCCGCCCGATACCACAAAGCTCATCCAAGAAGAAACCTTCCAGGCTGGCAAAAAAGGGAAACAAATGCTATTTGTATGGATCCCTGGACATAGTGGTATACTGGGAAACGAAATAGCGGATAAAGAAGCTTAAAACGCAATAGACTCAACATCAACCACAAATATAAATTCCATCACATTCGACGACGCGAAAATCGTAATCAACACTTACATAAACAATAAATGCCACTCCCACTGGCGACAACTTAACACTAAACTCAATCAAATTAAAAATAACACCAACCTATGGAAAAATTCCGGACTTAGTAGAAAAGATGAAACCACAATCAACAGACTTCGAATAGGACACACACATCTAACGCACAGCTACTTGATGAGCAACGACGAACCTCCATTATGCGACACATGCAGAGTCCCCCTAACGGTAAAACATATCATCACCGAATGCCATAAATACAACCAGTACCGCGATCAATTCCACATCTCCGAACAAATCTGTCAAGCACTTGGACCAAACCCACAGGACACTAACAACTTAATTTTATTCCTTAAAAAATCAGAATTGTATAACATAATTTAAAAAAAAAAAATTATGAAATATATTATTGTAAATACCTCTTAACTTAACACCTTGTACTAATGACCTAGATGTCGATGTATTTAAGATCAATAAAAAAAAAAAAAAAATAACTCAGCATCTACACTTGTTTCCTTAACGTGACCACTGTGAAAGAACTTAGTCTATAAGTTGTGATTTAACTGAAGCAATGGAGTGTGTTGATACTGTATTACACAAAATAAAAGATATTCGGGGTAATATGAATAATACATTTTCCAAAATATTTAAAAAAGCAGATGATCAAACAATGTTCAATAATCATAAAAATAACATTTCTTCACTGCACAAGTTATTACCAAAAATGTGCAATAAATTTGAGATCGATTTAAATGATTTTGAAATATACTCAGCATTTGTGGATTTGGAAGTATTGTCACAGGATATTAATCTGTGGAAAAAAAAATGGACTGAAAAAGTGGATAAAGATCTTCCAAATTCGGCTATTGATGCATACGTTAAATGTAATTATGAATATTTATTGGCTACATTACCAGTTTCGGCTGCTACCCCAGAGCGCTCATTCTCTACCTTAGAAAGGTTAAAACACTTTTTAAAAAATTCCTATTAATATTAAAATAAATACAGATGAAGAGATTGACCGTTTTGGAAAAGGAAAAAAAAAGACAAACAGACCTTGTGCTATTAAAATGTAGGTATTTAAAATTTAAGCTGAAAAAAAACTGAAAATATTTTGTATTATATATTGAATCATAATTTAGTATTTTAACTGCAGTAGGTATATTGTAATACTTAAATTTTGTAAAATTATTACAGATCATTATTTTAATGCATCTATGTAAAAATATAATATCATAAAATATCTTATCTTGATATATTATTATTATCTAATATACGAGGGTACCGTATACGTAGGTACCAAAGACCTATAAAGAAATGGACTAATAACAGAGAGAGAGAGATCCAGGGGCCAACATTGTTAGAAAAAGATAGCATACAACTTGGGTACCATTTACACCAATTAATAAAAGAGAGAGGGAGAATAGTTCAACAACAAAGATAACAACATTTTTAGAAAAAGATAGCATACACCTTAGGTAGTCGGGTCACATTACATTACACATGTATTGACTATCTCTTTCTAACAATCTTATTTCAATAAACTTAAGGCAGGGTGTGGGGGAGTAGCAGTCCATATCTTATTATGTCTATGGTAGGTACCTAATATTAATATTATGAAAGAAATTTTTCTTGTTTTGAATATTAAAAATAATAAGCATTCGAGGAACATGTACCTAAAACATTTTTTATTTCAAAGTTAATTAGTTATTTATGTATTTTCATATTTATTACTAAACTCTACAATATATAATATAATCGAATGTGTCCTAACTGCCGACTGACTGATTGATTAACATAAATGTTAGTAAAATGTAAGCAGTAGCTATTCTATTATTTTAATTACTGAAAATAGTTCTTATTCTCAAACACATTAAAGTATATATAAACATAACACTAGTTAAGTATTAACTTTACAAACTTATTATTCTACAAAGAAAATCCTCTCTTCTTCGTGTTTTACATGCAATAAAAAGGGAAAAAAGGCCCCCGGGCGAATGGTGTCGCTACTTACTGCGCTCTTATCAAACTGCCGTCGAAATCGGCACCCAGAATATTTAGAAGTGGTATCACTTAATCTTATTCCCAAACACATTAAAGTATATATAAACATAACACTAGTAAAGTGTAAACTTCACAAACTTATTATTCTACAAAGAAAATCCTCTCTTCTTCGTGTCCTACATGCAATAAAAAGGAAAAATAGGCCCCCGGACGAATGGTGTCGCTACTTACCGCGCTCTTATCAAACTGCCGTCGAAATCGGCACCCAGAATATTTAGAAGTGGTATCACTTAATCTTCTCTACATCGTGAGAAGGACACAGGTGCTCGAGTTGGAAACTGAGGGACTCATAAGGTATACGGGACAAAAGAGTATTGGAGTCGACAACGTTCGATAAGAGACGTCTCGGGAAAGTCTCGATCGACTCGACCGTCTACGGTCAGCCAGAGATTGAAGGTCGAGAATCTCAGAGACAGGAGAGTAATCGCATGGGGGGGGGGGCATTGAACGCCTAAAACGAAACTTGCATGCTCTGAACCTGCAAAGACCTGCGCGCATTTGCAGTGTAAATTAGATATTATTTTACTCACGTGTATTCACATTAATCGATTTAAATGTGTAGCAGAACCAAGATTTGTACAGTATTCGTTTCACTAAAAAACGTGACACGTCCACGTTTAATGTTATACTAACATAAACATGTGGGTACACGTGAACGCGCACTACGTAGGTCTTATCTCGAACTATGGCTTCGGGAATGATTCATAAAATATTATCACTCGTCGGTGGTCGTTTGCCGTTGTAAATATTCACGGGCGATCGAATATTTTGGTCAATGGCTCGCAACGAAATCCCAACGCAATGTCTCATGTCTGCCTCTCAGATGTCTTCGGTTCGGACGAAGAATGATTTTCTGAATAGTGGACACGACAAACACACACTGCTACGGTTTTCGGTTACTTGTAGCTGTACTACCGCCGCGCCGTAGTTGGGCGGTGGTCCGTTTCGCGTCCTTTCGATGTGTCGGTCTCCGATTGGGTTCCCCGCAACACCTGTTTACGCTGGGTACACAACGCTGTTGCGGCGGCGGCGGCGAGTTGTATATTTTGTGTTTCGTGAACACGACGTACTCGACTAGGTGGTCGCACGAGGAGCGTTCTGTATGCAAAATGAGTACTGACCGTGAGTACGAGCGCGGTGCGGTGGAGGAAAATGTTTTCAATGCTCGAGCGCGCGACACTGCGACGGCCATGAATGGCATTATCATATTATTTTATCGCACGACGACTCGGCTCGCAGCCGACGCCTTATTTACATGTCAATAATATTATTTTACGTCGTAAGCGTGAACTAAGATGTTATCGAATTATGTTACTATGTAAATATGATGTTATCTTAGTTCATGGTCGTAACTCGTAAGATGAATATTATTATATATTATTATTATCGTACGCACACATATATATTATATTATAAATTATTATATGTATATGTATATATTATATTATAAATTATTATATGTATATGTATATATTATATATATATCAATGTTTGGAAATAACGTCGTTCATATTATGCAGTGAACACCGATCGGTACTTGAATCAGTGGCGTCATTTTGGGGAGTGGCAAGGTTGAAGGTGGGCATTTTCCCCTGTCTGATTTTTGAAAGAGGCCCGATGGGCCCGGGGACGAATCAAGGGGGGGGGGGGCAAAAGGAGCAGTTGCAACAACGGCGGCAAAAAAAATACGATAATGTCGTTTGTATAATTTAATAAAAATAAAATATTTAGTAGAATAAATATTAATTATTACTTTTACGAATTTACGATGTCAATCGTCGAATACTATACGGTATCTAAAATCGTAGATTAATTTTGTAATACATGGTAATACCTATACCTACGTACTAATCGAAATACTAGTTATCATTATTTACTACAATATATTATTATTATATTGAAGTGTAATAGCCGCCGTGGCACCGAGCTGCCCGCATACGATATTGCCATGTACAAGTAGGTACTATATACAAGTAGGTACTATATAATGATATAGTACCTACTATTGCAGTACAACTGACTACTGAGAGCTTGTTATTCGATTATCATATTATATTACTATATTCCTATCCCCGATTTGTATCTATACTATTTATTTACAGAAGAAATAACAAAAGTTTTGAACTTGGTCAATTTTTAGGATAATGTTATTGTTATATAATATTTAAAATTTTAAACATAATATATAGGTACCTATTTCCTTAGTCGTTTATCGTTACAATAATTCATAGAATTAGGCATAGAATATACCATGTACCATGATGAGACATGGGTTTGAAATTAATAATGATACGTATATATATATATTGTGTATGTAATAATTTGTATAAATTGTATCTGGTTCATGTGTTTAAATATATTGTGGTCTTGAATGTCACTCGTTTTTTTTTTCAAATAGATAGTGAACGTGAACGACGTTTAGATTTTCAATGTATTTGATCGATTATTAACACTCAATTTATTTATCATTTAATAAATATTAAATATATATTGTACCGGAGGGCTATGATTATTGTACAAACTAGTATATTATAAAATACCTATGAATTATTTATTTATCATTTATTTATTTAGTTCGCTGTTTTTGTTTCAATATTTGAATAGTTTCAGTTGAATCTTTAATATATTAGGAATTACAATATTGTAATATTCAATTCAACCCAAAAGATTTTTTTCAACTCTTAAAAAATTGAGGAGGTAGGTAGGTAGATGACTTTTCCAAGACGGCCTAGTCCCGTCTCTCGGCTGTGTGCATGGTAATCAGAAAAAAAATCCCCAGCTACAATATTACTCACAATCACATGCAAATGGTCGAACAAATATATTTTGAACGTTAATTAGTATCTATAATTAATATTTAATGACAAATACGTATATTATATTGTTAAAAAAATTATAAAAATATTTAGAATGATCGATACGTCAATATTAATAATACAGTTAAAAACATAGTATCCAAAAATATTATACAAAATATAGGTACCTATATTTTTTATTTATTGTTTGATAAAAATTTTACTATTATTATTATTATCATTATTATTACCATCTATATTTCGTATAAAATGTTTGTATACCTACTATATTATACCTACTAAATATTTGTATATGTTATGTTTTGACTTTTTTATAATATTTTTATATACCTACTATGTTTTGAACTGTATTCTTTTACGTATCGATCACTCGAAATATTCTTGTACTTTATATATTTATGTACACTACACCTCACAATTCACATAACAATCATAAGTAATATTTGAAGTTTTGAAAACGTAATATTTTATTTCAGATATTTAATTTTTACAGAATTAAACCAACATAAAATGTGTATTAATACAGTAATATAAAATGTTGTTGTAAATTTTTCAAAAATTATTTATAGTTATTTATTTATATTATTTTTATTACCTATATTTTGTATAATATTTTTGTATACTATGTGTTTAACTGTATTATTTGACGTATAAATCATTCAAAATATTTTAGATTCTGAGTGAAACGATGAATGTATTGATTTTACAATGATGTGTGTTTTTTTATTTTTATTTGTGTCTGACATCACGTTTTAGGACAGTAAAAGTTCTTGGATTTTCTTCAACAGTAGCTTTTCTTATAGGAAAGTGAATCTAGTTGGTACTTTGGGAGGTCAAAGGAAAAATTTCCTAGTAGTTTTCACAAGCGCCGGGAAGAACAACATAAAAATGGAGGAAAAACGAGAATTTTTACGCAAAATCGGTTTTCCAAAAAATCGATTTTGGTGTAACTTTAAAACAAATGACCGTAGATACATGAAATTTTCCCTGGTTGTTTATATTTGCATTTTCTATACACGATAACATTTTTTAAATATTGTGATTTATTTTGAACTGTTAAGGGACATTTTCATTTTTCATTTTTTTTTAGTTTTTTTCTAGAAATATCAATAAAATATTTGTTGGTTAAAAAAACTTGAAAATTTAATAGAAGGCTCCTAGTATATTGTTTCAAAGGCAGATGAAAAATATTAAAAATCGTTAGTCACAGTTTTTTTTTATAAGCATTTAAAGTTCAAAAATTGACAAAATATGGAAAAATCACGAAAATTAGCAAATTATTTTGAGTTAAGAATTCGTAAAAATTTTTGTTTTTAAATCTAAGATTTTAAAATGTAATACAAGATTACTCATAAGTTGTCTACCTTTATCAATAAAAAAAATCTCTACCGGACAGTCAAATTAAATTTTTATGAGCGTTTGAAATTCAAATTTTTACAACATTGGATGTTCACTCGATTTCTCATGTAGCGATTTCCTTATTTGTTGTAATTCAAAAACAAATAACTATAGATACATGAAAATTTCACTGAATGTTTATATTAGCATTTCCTATACACCATACAATTTTGAAAATATTTTGACTCTTTTTGAGCTGTTTACGGATATTTTCATTTTTCAATTTTTTTAGTTTTTTTTCTATGAATATCAATAAAGTTTTATCTGTTGTTCCAAAAAGTGTAAAAATTTAATACAAGGCTCCTGATATATTGTTACAATATCAGTTGAAAAATATTAAAAATACATAGGCAAAATATAAGCATTTAAACATCGAATTTTGACAGCATTTTTCAAAATTTCGAAAATTATTAATCATCGTAATTAATAAATAATAAAATGTTCAGTTTTTATAGCTAAGGATTGAAAATTTAAAACAAGATTCCACGTAAGTAGTTAATTCTCTTACCGAAAAATCTAAAAAATATACAATCACAGTTTATTTTTATATTCGTTTTATGTTCAAATTTGGACGAAATTACATATTAAAAAACCTAGTAATTTTGTTGTGATTATATAATATTATTCGTGGGTACCTACTTGAAACTTCTAAAGTGTACTATTATATATATATGATAGTCTCAGGGTTTGTTATTGATGTTGATGTACCTATAACGTGTTATAAGTGCCTTATGGATATTGTGATAATGTGATACGATTAATTTGGAATTTATTATAGGTCAATTTTTTTTTTAATAGGTACGACCTAATATTAGATATGTACCTATATAATTTGTCTTAAACCTAGACTGACATACCGTCTTCGCTCAGAATCGTTTTTCTTATACAATGATATTGTATCATTGAATTCAAATTTAAAAGCATCCATTATACAGTGACCCACTTGTAACCTACTGTACAGCAGAGCGACATCCACTTACCCACCTTTTTACAATAATACTATACTATATCTGTGGTAATCAAAATAAAAATCCCCGGACTACAAGATTAGTTTAAATTACTCACAAACACAAGAAAATGATTGAAAGATAACTTTTAAACAATTAAATATACTAAATTAAATAATTAGTGTAAATATCACATTATTAATATTTAATTACAAATACATACTTATAGTATTATGGAGGTAACTATAGGTATATATAATTGAAAAAATTAAAAATCAACTGGAGATTAAAGAAAAATTAATTTAAAAACCAAATTATATTCAAAGTTTAAATATAGATATAGGTAGGTAGGTAGGTAGGTAGGTAGGTAGGTACCTACCTATATTGAATACAATTTAACTTCCTTAATATTTATACTATAATTTTCAGATATTAACAATAATAATTTTTTTTTTATATTATATATTATAATATATCCCAAAAATCAAATATTACATTTCCTAATAATATTTTGACGATAAACAAAATGTAAATATCAATAATAACTATTATTATTATTATTATTATTATTATTATTAGAGGTAGATTTTACAAGTTTTACTTATAGATCCAATATTTAAAAGATTATAAAATGAAAAATATTTCGAATGATTGATATGTCAAATAAATAATCAATGAATGTAGGTAGTGGGTAAATAATTTTTTAAAAAGTCTATAAACATAATATGTTGTTTAAACTTTAAAATAGTAATATAAAACAAAATAATATTATTGTTAATTTTTGAAAATTATTTATTATATTTTAATTTTTTAATGAAAATAGTAGGTATATACCTACTATATATTACTAGTAAGTATAATATAATATTGTGATAATTACACTAATTAGTTTTTAAAAAATAATTGTTCAATCAATTTCATGTAGATACCTAGTTGTCAGTAACATTGTAATCTGGGGGTTATTTTTCCTAGGGTCGGGGATTTTTATTCCGAAATTCACTGTCTCTATATAGTCTATACTTTAGTTCAGAGCATATTCATTAAAATTATGTATAATAACCTTACCAATATGCCGACATGAATTGTTTCCTTAACACAAATACAGACATACCATTATAATATTTTTATATACCTACTATGTTTTGAACTGTATTCTTTGACGTATCGATCACTCGAAATATTTTTGTACTTTATATATTTGTGTACACTACACCTCACAATTCACATAACAATCATAAGTAATATTTGAAGTTTTGAAAATGTAATATTTTATTTCAGAGATTTAATTTTTACAGAATTATACCAACATAAAATGTGTATTAATATAGTAATATAAAATGTTGTTGTAAATTTTTCAAAAATTATTTATATTTTTTTTATTACCTATATTTTGTATCATATTTTTGTATACTATGTGTTTAACTGTATTATTTGACGTATCAATCATTCAAAATATTTTTATATTCTACCAGTGGCGGTTCTGGCATAAAATTGTTGAGGAGGCAACAATATTATACCCTTCTAGACATGTAAGCGCAAATCCCCCAATTCTCAAAACTCATTAATTAAAAACAACTTATGGAACAAACTGATTACTCTAATAGTACTTTACTACTTTATTTGTCCCTCACACTCACTGTAGTACTGTACCTATCACACAGAAAATAAAATAATACAATTTAAATCATATAAAAAATTGTTATTACTTATTATACCATTGCTATTGATAATAACATTAATAACTTATTAGTGATAACGTGCAATATTATGAACTAAAGAATAATAATAATTAGTTGTACAATAATATGCTGAATGCCTGAATGCCTAAATTCTAGTTGTTCCCAAACCTAGAGAATGATTAATCGTCAACCACTGAGGCGCTGCAAGTCACAGCCTGTGACGTTTGCCGACGGAGGCTACGGTTATGTACAGTCTCCACAGAGAATTGCGCATGCGCTATTCCCATATTTTATGTGCATCTGTGTGTGTACATTTGTGTACACATGTAACGTATCGATAACGGCGGCGGCAGTTGCCTCCTGAGAAAGTGGGTAGCCGCCGCCGATACGGGACGCATGGAGGGGCAGCCGTACTATGTAGACATGTAGTAATACAGTATATCAGTAGGTATAATAATAATATTAATATTATATTCGCGATTCGCCAGTTGCGCGCGGGAACTGATCACTGGCCAGTCTCTTATGACTTATGAGCATCACGATAGGTACACTCCATAGTTCCTTCAATACATAACTTAAATATATATTTTATTTATTTCCCTTTTATAATAATGTCTATATTTGAAAATATAAACACACAACATTTTATAATTTAAATAATATTAATCATGTATATTCTCTAATTTTCAAGGGAGGCATTGCCTCCCTTGCCTCCCCGGGAAAACCGCCACTGTATTCTACACCTATTTTTTTTTTTTTTATTGATCTAAAAGTTAACATCGACAACAAAGGCCATTAGTCACAAACTCGCAAACAAGGTTTTTATACAATAATACAAGTAACAATAATGATTAATAATTTTTTTAAAGTTTTGTTTGTTTTAGAAATTTGATTATATTCATTATTCAGGTTGTTTTTCTGGGTTGGGTCCGTGTTTGCGTCGCGCTAGTAGTTTCTTCTAGATGCGCGTACGGTATTGAAATAATATATTATGGGTATGACCATTCTTTCTCGTTACAACCATGTAATGACGATAAATCCGGACTTTTGTTTAGAACATATTGATAAAAATGTCAAATCACTTCAAATCAAAAATCTATTGAAACTGGCGGCGTTCAGTGGATATTGTAACTAATAGATGACAACTTTTTGTCGCCTAGTAATTGATATATTTAATTACTGGCTACCACGATTTTTGTAAAAATTTCGACGTTTGAACATTATTATATAATTTTATTTATCGATATTCATTATTTTAGTTTTTGTCATTTATTTATGACGTAAATCATTTCGTTGACAATAATTATTGAGAATGAAAAACTCGTGTGAACAGTTAACCATAGCCCGTAGGTATCCATAGAATAATACGCAATGCGACACGTTTCATCTGGTCGTCAGTCGTCCGCGCAAATATCTATTACCTATCTACAAATTGATTGTTTTTTATTTGATTTTGGTACCTACCTCCTACTTGTTCATACAGTGCCGCTCTAACCACCAATAACGCCCTAGGGCAACAATATTTGACGCCCCTCTCCCTCCCACAAAAAAATCTAGACTTCACATTTTTAGCTTATAATTAACCACATACCTTAAATATGTTTAATACTTATTAATTAAAGGTTCCTACTTATTTTTTTATTATTATTATTGGAATCATATTTATTTTGTTTCAATGATTTTTTTGAGTTGACACCGATTTCATTATTCCGGGTACATTACAGAAAGAAAATATATATAACTATTTTCACAAATTAGTGGATTTTATTATATATCATACGTTCTGCGTTTCTGCGTGTGGCGTGTATAACAGTCAACATTGTAAATTGTACAAGTGAATATGAGTGAATATAATATACAGAATTTAGTCAAAATACACTAACTCGATTTATTTTAAGAAGTGGGTGAAATTGATAATGAGTTGGTTATAAGTTATAACATAATATACATCTTTGCCTTTGCGTATAATATTTATAGTAGCACAACTCCCCGAAGATGGGGGTTGTTGATCACTGAGACCCATAGACTGCAGGGACCCCCCCCCAGGCCCCAACCCAACTAATAATTTACTATTTTTATATTTGATAACAAATATCAAAATCACATTATTTTAATGTATTTATGTATGTATTAAATTTCACTGTCAGTATAGATATCTGATGTATTATTAAAATATTATTCTATAAATATAAAATAATGATGACATTTCTCCATATTTTACATGGAAAATTAAAGGAGGATTATTAAACACAACAATTAAAGACCTCGCTTTGTTTATAATTATTAAAAATGGTTTCTGTAATCCATACTGCGATGTTCTTAAATTTGTCGATCAAAAAACCAGAAAAAAATCTTTTTCAAGTGAAAAAAATATTTAATAGGTACTACCAAAGATATGAATTAGTTTAGTTTATAATTATATTACTTAATTATTTTAATGATGTAAATACATATTTAAAATATATTTCATGTAAATAAATATTACTATTGTAGTCTTATAACTTATAAGTATTAATATTTTTATTTGTTTTTATGAATATTGAATATATTATTGAAGGTATGTCGCATTAAGATTTAACACATTATTTACATAATTTTATATTTAATAGTATATAATTTGATAGGTACTCATCTTTGATATTACAGTATAAAAAGAAAAATAATACCTAAAATAAAATCACCAAATTTTTCTTTTATCATTCATTTTTAGTACGCCCCCTAAATTCATAATACTTTAGACGCCCTAGGGCACTTGCCCCATTTGCCCCCCCCCCCTTGGGACGGCTATGTGTTCATACAAGATATTAGCTCAATAATTATTTCCCTTTGAACCTTTAAACAGTATAAATGCGGGTTTCCACTATACACGAAAAATGTTCAGCTGTGTCCAACAACACGGTTAATCGTGTGGTAACTTAACATAACCAACCAATCACAGCAAATGATTTGTATGCACAGGGCCGGATTTAAACATTATGGGGCCCAGGGCAAAAATATTTTGGGGCCCTAAATGATCCATAACAAAAATTGCATACCTACCTTAAGTTATTTCATGCGTAAAATATATTTATAGACTATAGTTACAACTAAAAATAACTATTTATGTTAAATAAATTGAACAAGTCATACAGTAATATATTATTTATTTTATTAATAAAAAAATATAATCTATGGCTAAAATGTATTTAATTAAATATATATATATTAATAAACTGTACCAAAAATTTGTATTTATATTTTTAATAAAGAAAATAGTCAATTAAAAGTTAAGATTATTATTACAGTCATTAACCTATTATGTTTACATAAAAAATAGAATATTATAAATTGCATACTTTTCTTGATTTCTTTTCTGCAAAGTCATCTATAATATCATCAAATGACAGATTATCCAACACATCACTTTCAATGCTCATAACTGATAAAAAGTTCAAACGATCTTCATTCATTGTAGTTCGTAATCTATTTTTTATAATTTTCAATCTTGAAAATGTGCGTTCACTACTACAATTGGTGACCATAATTACTAAATACATGCGTAATGCGATTTCAACATTTGGAAAAGCTGATATTACGTATTTTTCAATTAAAGTTTTGTACATAAAATGCTCATTACTCATTTCTGTTGGCTTGGAATAAAGTTTTATAAATTCAGAAAAATTAATTATTTCAACACACAACAATTCGTCTAAGTCATCATCGTATACAGCTACAAGTTTTTTAGCTGCTTCTTGTAATTCTTCGTTGCTAAGATTATTTAATTGTCCAAAAAATCCAAAACGATCACATATTACTTCATATGCTTTAAGTCTTTGACTTATTGCTGATGACATTTGATCTATAACAGTATACATGCATACAGTATGCACGTGAACGAGTACTTGTATTGTGGAAACCCACCTGCAGGTTACCTATGAACTACGACGACAGGACGACTTTCTTCATTTTCGGTACCTAAGTAAAAAACAATTTAAAATCTAATATTTTATGCTTGGACTTAAACTAAATACAGTATACCTCTTCTCAATAATGATATAATATACTACAAAATACAATAATCCTAAATGAAAATATATACTTGCATAATATGATCCGTATAATGCATTACCATTGGTTATAATGGTACTAGTAAAAATAGTAGTATTTATAATCAATGGTATTGGTGTAATATTATTAATATTATGTAAATTTCTATGAATGACCAATATAATAACTATTATTATAAATTATTATTAAATTTATTAATTAATATAATTAATATTGAAAAGTTTTTTATGAGCTCATAATAATATGTTGTGTGCAATTTTTTTTTTTAATGTCGCCCAAGACTAAAAATATCCACTGTGGTGGTTAGATGAACTCTAGTTTTGGGTACTTATTGTAAGTTGTAAACAGTTATTTACGTAAGTGTTCAAAAATGTATTTGTAAATTGTATTTAGAAACGGCCTTGCGTTGTAAAGTCGATTTATCTATAATTGGTAGGTACTAACAATAACGTATTTACTGGATCCGGTCGATGGTCGTACGTATTCAGTAGGTACATTTAAGTGAAATAAAGCTGTCTATAGGATACAATATAATATGTCATCTATATATAGTAGGTAACCGATATACATCGCGATAACTCGATCAGTGGTTGTCATTACTTCGATATTATTATAATATATTCTATTAAAATTCAGTCGATACATTTGACATGCTCTAAATCCACGAAATCGAGAAAATGAGCAATACTTTAAAAATGTAAATTCAAAAATATTATTTACGTCTTATTTGCAACGGTTCTACAATTATTATTGAAATTTATTTTTTCTCCATTTCGGGTAGGTACCTAACTCTATCGGCCGGACCACCTACCAGTGCGGTGTACCTTTACTTGCCACACTCCTTTATGTATGTATACAACTAAAAGTAGGAATAGTAAAAGTCGAGAAGTAATATTATGAGAAAAGAAATAAAACCACTTTTTATTGTAAGTGGGCGCGAATCGCCAATATTTATTATTTATAATATTTGTACCATTGACAGGTATCAGTAGGTATCTTTTTAGATTCTGAGTGAAACGATGAATGTATTGATTTTACAATGATGTGTGTTTTTTTTTTTATTTTTTTTTTTTTATTTTTGTGTCTGTGTACACGATAAGTAGTCGAAATAATGCTTCGATTTTCGACTTCGGTATCTTGTTCGATTGGAAAGTGAATATCGTTGGTGCATTGGGGAGGTCAAAATTTAAAATTCCCAATAGTTTTCACAAGCGCCAGGAAAAACAACATAAAAATTAAGGAAAAACAGGAATTTTTACGCAAAATCGGTTTTTGACAAAATCGAATTTGGTTTTTGGTGTAACTTTTAAACAAATGGCCGTAGATACATGAAATTTTCACTGGTTGTTTATATTTGCATTTTCTATACACGATAACATTTTCAAAATATTTTGATTTATTTTGAACTGTTTAGGGACATTTTCATTTTTCATTTTTTTTTAGTTTTTTTTCTAGAAATATCAATAAAATTTTATTTGTTGGTTGCGAAAGCTTGAAAATTTAATAGAAGACTCCTAGTATATTGTTTCAAAGGCAGATGAAAAATATTAAAAATCGTTTGTCAAAGTTTTTTTTTATAAGCATTTAAAGTTCAAAAATTGACAAAATATGGAAAAATCACGAAAATTAGCAAATTATTTTGAGTTAAGAATTCGCAAAAATTTTTCTTTTTAAATCTAAGATTTGAAAATGTAATACAAGATTACTCATAAGTTGTCTACCTTTATCAATAAAAAAAATCTCTACCGGACAGTCAAATTACATTTTTATGAGCGTTTGAAATTCAAATTTTTACAACATTGGATGTTCACTCGATTTCTCATGTAGCGATTTCCTTATTTTGTTGTTATTCATAAACGAATAACTATAGATACATGAAAATTTCACTGAATGTTTATATTAGCATTTCCTATACACCATACAATTTTGAAAATATTTTGACTCTTTTTGAGCTGTTTACGGATATTTTCATTTTTCAATTTTTTTAGTTTTTTTTCTATGAATATTAATAAAGTTTTATCTGTTGGGCCAAAAGTGTAAAAATTTAATACAAGGCTCCTGATATATTGTTACAATATCAGTTGAAAAATATTAAAAATACATAGGCACGATTTTTTTTTATAAGCATTTAAAGTTGGAATTTTGACAAAATTTATCAAAATCTCGAAAATTATCAATCGTTGGAATTAAAAAATTATAAAATGTTCAGTTTTTATAACTAAGAGTTGAAAATTTAAAACAAAGATTCTCTTAAATAATTCATACTGTAACCAAAAAATCTAAAAAATATTTAAACACACTTATTTTTTACAGACATTTTAAATTCAAATTTAGACAAAATTTCATATTTAAACCAAGAATTACGATTTTAGTTATTTTGTTGTGATTGAATAATACTATTCGTGGGTACTTGAAACTTCTAAAGTGTACTATTATATATCTATGATAGTATCACGGTTTTTGTTGATGTATAACGCGTTATAAGTATCTAATGGATATTGTGATATGATTAATTTGGAATTTATTATAGGTCAATTTTTTGTTTAATACCATACGTAGATATGTATATAATATGCCTTATACATAGACTGACATACCATCACCGCTCAGAATCGTTTTTCTTATACAATGATATTATATCATTGAATTCAAATTTAATACCATCCATTATACAGTGACCCACTTGTAACCTACTGTACAGCAGAGCGACACCCACTTGCCCACCTTTTTTATTATTATATTATGCAGGTACGAATTTCCATTAATTAATTTGAATATTATTGTTATGTGCATGGAGAAAATTGTCTACCTTATTGTTAAGAATACTTACTTTTAAAATGTATTCAGAATACGAATATTTAAATACTTGGTGTAATTTGTATTTAAAATACGTATTCAAATACTTTCTTTTAAAAGTATTTAAATATCAATACAAATACCTTTTAAATGTATTCAAAATACTTACACAAATACTTTTTGTTAAGTTCAATAAATGAATAATTAATAATCAATTATTCAATCTATTCGATGACTAGTTGACTAACCACTACTACCCCGCCATGAAGTAGGTAGGTACCTACTATTATTGAATAGTTTCTTTAATCAAGGCAACCAAACCATCTTGTGTATCACTCCATCTATATATTGTAAAATATGATTATTGTACAATCAACATGATGATCATATTACAATATTGTAAAAATATTTTATACAGATTGTACAAATTAAAATGAATATAACAAAAAAAAAAAAAATGATTTTTTCTTTTGAAAATGTTGATCATTTCGGGCTTAATACCGAGTTTCGCCAAGAATTATTATTATTAAAACGCAATAATTGCTGCCCAGTTGAAACCCGAAATACTAATTTTCCCCCATCATTTTTCGAGTCCACTTTAATCTTGAATACGAAATAAAGTAATGCAACAATATACGAGTTTGGGAGTTCTGCAGACCACATAGTGCGTATACCCATATCTAATAAAATATACCTACATTATCAGGTTTTTTTTTAATGATTTTTCCTGACTGCACAAACTTATTCCCACTCTTGGGTTATAGTAGGGAATACGTCTATGCAGACCAAACCCAACGGACTGTTATCCTTTGAACTATCAGGGATGGCTCCAGAAGGGCCCTAGTCCCCCCTCCCCCAAAGCTATATTTCTAAACAATTGTATAGTGTTAAAAACAAAATTACAAAAAAAAATCATCGACATTTTCTGAAAATTATGACATGGTCACCCCCTAAGCATATCTCTGGAGTTGTCCCTGTGAACTGTGCTGGCTATACTACCTAGTACCTACCTATTACTAACCTACTGTCTACTGTATACTGTACGATCTACATTTTTTACTTTCATAAGACTGCATATAGGTATTCAGAAACGATATGTAATAACATAAAAATCTCATCTCATCAAACTCTTTCATGATAAACCTACCAAATAAATCATTTTATACTAATGCACTATTTTTATTGTAAATTTGTAAATAATAATTTAAATTTTGTTTGTAAATATAAGTAATAATAACTTACCAAGTAATATTTACTCGGAATAAGTAATTTGTAATAATAATTGTTTATAAAAATAAAAACAATCAATTGACTAGGTAGGTACCTAACTATCGTATATTTAATCAAATGAGAAAATAGGGCATTTGATGTCAAAACGGAGCTAGTATTCTAGAAAAGCGTTTTGTCAAAAATTCATAGATTATCTAGATCCAAAAAACTACAACTTAATGTCAGTAAATATAAAAAGGGACATATTCCATACAGAATGGAATCGTATATAACTATATAAATGAAAAAAAAATATTTACATTTGGTTATTTCCAATTGGCAATTGAATAAATAATAAGTAATAAATATACTTAACTGTTGTAATTTTAATATTTGTTATTATTTCATATAACCCTCTACCTCCACCACAAGCATTGTGCTTAAAGGTGGTAGATATTTTTTTTGTTTTAAAAAATACTATAATAATGAATAATATAAACAATATTTAATTTTAATAGAAACATTTTTTTTTATTCTGAGGTTTACTCAGTTATTGTTGTATAGTATACATAGGTAAACCTCCTAATATTCATTGTACAATGTACACCGGCAAACTTTTTGCAAAATTATTAAATTTGATGTTTTCTTTAAAATGAACATAAATTATTTTAAAAACTAAGGGTATATTTATTTGATGCTTACTACTTAGTACAAATTACTGAAGCAATTTAAAGTTTGAAAAATGTTGATATTTCATAACATAAATGATCTTATGTAGGTA